CTACCTACCTACCTACCTACCTACCTACCTACCTATCAAATTTATATCACCGCCCAACTCCCTCACAAGGAGGGACTTTAAAAAGGTTAATGATCATAGCCAAAATTAGTTATGCACAAAACTCCTCATTTCCAGATTAGAACGTTGCGCTTTACTCTAGAATGCCCTTAGCCAGCCGTTCTAGGGATGCTCTGGAGGTTTTCTGGAAATAAATTCTCTGGCTGGAAATGGCTTATCCTGTTCCAGATACAGACCAGCCAACAGAGGGTTTCACACACCTCTAGCTTCATCAGCAAATGCTAGGTTAAAAATCTTAATGTTCACCTAAAATTACTTGTCCTCTCCTAATGATAAAAAGGGATTTCCTTCTTTATCATCAGGGATGGCAAATAAGTGCAGCTTACTCTTTCAGTTACACAACTGTACTGAAATGTCCCCCGGAGCCCCCTGAATATAGTTCTAGCAAGATATTTGTTCTGTCTCCCAGATGACCATGCTGTGTCCATGCTGGCAGCTCTCGACACATATGGAACCAGATATCATCTCGACATAAGGGGGGGGGGAAGGAAGGAAAGCAGGGGTAGTAGAAAGAATCCACTGGCCGCTTGTGGAGGCCATTGCATCATTCCATGCAATGAAGTTTATCCAGGCTGGGAATCAATTTGCAGAAAGAAATGAGAAATCATCCCCCTTCTCTGCAGGGATTGGTATTAGGGTATTCCCAGTCACAAGGCATTTCCTCCCCAATATCAAATGCTTTTCTTTTGTTCCCATAGTTCTTAGATTTCTGTCCTGATGCTCCTTACAATGTTAAGAAAATATCCAGAGCTCCCTTTTCTACTTTTTCCCAAGAACATCAGCTATGTGAGGTAGGTTGGATCAAGAGAGATGGACTGGCCCAAACAGCTCCCATGGTTGAGAGTAGACTTGGAGCTGGATTCTCCTTCTCCTGGTACAGTGTATCGAACAGTCACTCATGCCCTTGTTATCTCCCACATAGACTACTGCAATGCGCTGTACATGGGGC